AAGTGACTCAAGTCATTATAGTTTTCTTGATAAACCATGATCGAAATGCATTGGTTTAGGATTATGTGATAGCATAGCCTTAGATTTCTTAGATTTCTACAACACACTAAAGACTAAACCATACTGTGACTTGTTTGATCCTAGCTTAACATGCTGTGGGAACCAAGCCACAATGTTATATTGTTTATTTATTTTATTTTAATCCCACCTTTATTACTTACAAATGACCCAAGTTGACTAAAACATACAATTCTGCTTCCGCTTCCTAGTTTCCCCACAACAACCCTGTGAGGTGAGTTAGGCTGAGAGTGACTGGTTCTACTGTAGGTCATTCAACTGGTTTTTGTGGCTAAGGTGGGACTAGAACTCACAGGCTCCAGCTTGCTAGCCTGGTGCCTTAACCACTAGACCATGCTATATGCACAGCTATAATGTGTGTGTGCTGTTTGTATATGCACACATACATGCGCGCATGCACACACACACACTCACAAGCTTTAAGGTGAATGAGCAACTCATTGAGCACAATACTATTTCCTCTTAAACAAAAAGGCAGTTTCAGCCATAAATTACCAGATCCACAGGTATAAAGTATAAACCAGCTATTTTATTGCTGAATGTCTATTTCACAGCAATCTTCTACTGTAATTCAATGCCTTCCTTGTTCCCCTTGTCCTACTTGAAAGGATATTAGCATAAATGTCCCTCTAATTGGTTTGACATGCTCCATAAAGTGCTGTGAAAACCCAAGACAAATGCAATCTGATCAGAAGGAGCCCAAGGTTGCTCAGGAAGGATCACATAGGTCAAACAGGTTGTGTTTGAATCTGCAAGTGTCCCTGTGGGCTCAACCCTCAACTGCTATTATCTCCTGAACATCTCTTCCTTTCTCCTTTGTTTATAAAGTGTCTTTCTTAAGCAATAAGCAGGCAGAATTCTAACAGTTTCTTTAGCAACCGTTTTTCTCTTTCCTGTTCAATTGTAGAGAAGGGTTTACCTTCTGGCTATATCATGGTCTCTTTGCTTGCCAATCCATAGGGTAATGAACAGTTCTGGTAGTCCTGAAAATCAGACCTGGTTCTGGTCCAGTGGTGAAATTCAAATTTTTTTACTACCAGTTCTGTTGGCACGGGTTTGGTAGGCGTGGTGTGGCTTGGTGGGCATGGCTTGGTGGGCGTGGCAGGGAAAGGATACAGCAAAATTTCCATTCCCACCCCACTCTAGGGCCAGCCAGAGGTGGTATTTGCCGGTTCTACGAACTGCTCAAAATTTCCACTACCGGTTCTCCAGAACCTGTCAGAACCTGCTGGATTTCACCCCTGTTCTGGTCCCATATTGTTGACCCAGATAGCACATCAGGAATAAGCACTACAGTCCATGTGCAAAAGACTGGAAGCACAGGCCAGGTTGCTAAATTCACCAAGCTCTCCACTTTGGGCTTGATCACAAGATGTCCTAGTCAACTGTATATGCTGGACACAATCATTTATTTCACCATCAGGGCTGCTCTGTTTGACTTACCCCATTCCTCTAAATACAAGGTTCCAATTTCTTTGAATCGAACTAGGTCCCTTCATGTTACTTCAAAGAAGTTAAAAGATGTTTTGGAAGTTTAGTAGTCATTGGAGCTTTCTGGATCTGCAGAAGTTCAAATTTATATGGACTGTACCTGAGCAAAGAATTCATCCTGTGCTTTGCTCATTTTGCAGCCTTGCTCTAACCCTTGCAATCACTAGGAGAAATATTTATACATGTGTTGTATAAATATCTTCCCACAACTTCCAATAAAGGCAAACATTCATGTGCAGAAACCTTTGCAGGAGATTAAAATTGCTGAAAGAGGTAGTTGGATGAGGTAATGCAAAGCAACATGGAAAGTTTGCTTTTAGACATGAGGGGACCACATCATTTCAAAAAGCAGTTTTGAAAAGGCATTTCTTCAGCTTCTGCTGAAGGAAAGCACTCCTTCAAAGATCTGTGCAGCTCTAATGAAATCAAGGCAGGAGTAGGGCATCATGTATTTGGGGCAATGAGATCTTGATATTGAATAACCAGCTGCCCAGTGAGTTTTATCTCTTCTGCATTTGTATAATGGATAAGGCACCAGGTTACAAACTAGGAGACTGTGAATTCTAGCCCTACTTTAAATACAAAACCAGCGAAGTGAGATTGGCCCAATCACACTAGAGAGGAGGCAAGGGCAAACCAGTTTTGAAAAATCTTGCCCAGAAAACTTCAGAGCCTTGTCCATGAAATTGCCAGGAGTCAATCAAGACTGACTCAAAGGCACACCCACAAAGTCCCAATAATCTCCAGTCAGTCTCCTCCCTCCCTTTTCATTCTCTGAACTCTCCTCTAAAACCTACCTCCCCCCTCCCAATTTTATTTCTGCTATGTGTCTGTTAATGTGTGCTGGGTGAATCCTTTTCTTGGTGTGATATTATAGGTGCCAGAATAAGAGCAGGAAATGCTGTTATAACACTGGTACAGCTAAGAACTTTCACCTATCTCACTCATGGGCTGAGAAGAAAATGACGGCAATAATGCAGTGAAATGGCAGAAAACACAGATTGCAAGGATGTGTTGATACTGTGGGCAGGTGTAATTGACAAAAGGCTTACAGTAGCTGCCTTGTAAAATCTGCTGCTGATCCTTCTGAACTGACAATAGCCTACCAAACAGATTTTTTTTTTAAAAAAAAAAATTCAATCAAGCTTCTCAATGTGTTTTAGGGAAGACACCACTCAAGATCTCTTTGCTACAGTTAGGTTTAAGTGAAGATGCAAGCGGGCAACATGAAATCCTTGGGAAGTGGAGAGCAGTTCCCATTATTCATTGCCATCTGGGTGATCTGGAGATTACCAGGAGCCTATTCTTCTTCTTCTTTTTTTTTTTTATTAATTTTATTTATTTCTTTACAACAAAATATTTATTCGCACACAGATCGCGACGGGAGCTTTACAGAATATATTAACTTCAGTCAAGATATACAAATAAAAAATAAAAAAATCTACACTAACCTTATCCTTTTTTTATTCTATTATTCAACCAAGTATACCATTGGTCCCAGAATTGAAAATATACAGAGTCCTTTTGATCTCTCAAAATTTTTGTTAACCTGTCAGCTTCCGCATATTCGATAATTTTCCCCAGAATCAGATCTTCAGCCAGTAGGTCTTTCCCCTTCCAATGTTGAGCAAAACATATTCTTGCTGCGGTTGTGATATATGTAGTCAAACACCATATATTCGTGCCTATCTTATCTGGCCTAATATTTAATAGATAGTATTAAGGTTTCAATTGTAATTTATATCCTGTGATTTCTAATATCCACCTCTGTATAGATCTCCAAAATTCGATTGCCTTAGGGCAGGTCCACCATACATGATAATAAGTACCTATTTCCCCACACTTCCAACAATTTGGGGAGAGTCCTGGAAACATTTTGGCTAATCGAGCAGGAGGGAGATGCCATCTATACACCATCTTATACAAGTTTTCTTTATAAGTAGTTGCCATCAGAAATTTCAATTGTTTCGTCCAAATTTCTTCCCATTTTATCAATTCAATTGAGTAACCAATATTTCTCCCCCAGGCAATCATTGAGTCTTTAACAATCTCATCCCCTATCCAATAAGTTATTAAGAATTTATAGATCTTAGATAATATTCTTTCCTCCTTTCCTAATATAATACTGTCTATTTCTTGCTGGGTCATGTCTATACCACTTTTTTCCTTGTCTTTCTTATATTTAGAGCTAATCTGGGAATAGGACCACCAATCCAATTTTATTCCTTGAAGCTCTAACTCAGTTCTTGTTTTTAAGCAGCCTTGGGCATCCAACAGTTCCCAATAGGATAGGTGTTTTTCTCTATTATAAAGTGAACTATATGTTGTAGCTTCTAACGGGACCAACCAAGAAGGAGTTGAAAAGTAGAGTTTACCCTTAACTTTCCTCCATGTATCAATTAGAATATACCAGGAGCCTATTCTTGATCTGGGTTAACAGTGTTTCTTAAAAAGCAATCTTGGACTGCTTTCATGCATCACACCAAGCCAAAAGGCAATTCATTTTGTTTTGGTTTAAGACTACACATTAAGATTGTGTATCTTTATTTATGGCTTAGTAATGTTATGAAAAACCAGTCAGGTATGGGTTAATCACTAAACCATGGCATATTATGTTGTGAAAATCCAACCATAAATTTCTTTCTAGAAAGGAGTGGCTGTTTCTCATGCTTTTTCTAGAGGATATATATATATATTTTTACAAGGAGCCAGGTGGCTGTAAAAATAAAAATAAACAGACAAAAACTCTGTGCTCAGCATTGTTGGTTAGATCTTCATTTCCCAAATGACTCTTTGGAATTTTGCCTTTTCTTATGACCCACATTGTGACTAAGACACTTGCAAAAAAATGAGGAGCTCAGCAATTAGGCAGCAAGCCATGTCTAATGTCTGAGAAACACAGAAGTCACCTTTGTCTACAGGAGTACAAATTTCTCCCCTAACCCAAGCCAAAAATAAATAAGATGAATAAATAAAAGCAAAAAAAAAAAAAAAGCAAAGAGAAGGCAAAAAAAAAAAGCTTAATAAAAATAGAAAACAAAGATGCAAAGAAGTGGCTTCTTCACAGGTATTATAAGTAAATTCTATTTTAACCCCTCTCTCTAAAGTTACATCACAATACTTTTTATAAATTATCCTGCCTAATCATTAAAATCCTAAATCAAACAAGTAGGGTAAATAAAACATCCATAAAGCATTTTAAATCACTATTTTAAAACCATAATCATAAGAAAAAATACAATGAAGAATTAATCATTTATATTTCTTGTAGCTGGGACTACAAACTTCTGTTAACGCTGTTTTGTCTGGGTTCAAGATATTCATTAAGCCTTCTTTTGCTACACAACCTTTGGTTGGCTGGGTCCACCCACAACATGCTAATAGATCACATTATGACTTAACACTTAGTGTTAAGTGTGATTAAGTCATAGTTTCAGTAGAGATTATATGCATTTATTTATTGGCAAGTTTTGTAACTCACTTCAGCCTAAAGATTGGGTAAGGGGTAATAAGGCAGTTACATAAAAACATTATTTGACTCATCCTGAGACAAATGGCTCCAAGTAATTCATTAGGATCAAGATTATGATGGCACAGGGTTGTATTAGCCACTAGGAGTAATGACAAGAGGGAAGGTGCTGCACCAGCCTCTAGTCTAGGTGCAGGCCTGTCAAACTGGTAGGCCATGGGCCGGATATGTCACGCGCAGGCCAAGTCTACCCCGACTCCACAAAGGCAAAAAACATCGGGATACATCACGAACCAGCCCGTAACGTGATCAAGTTTGACACCCGTGCATCTAGGGCAGGGGTGGGCAATTGTGGCTCTTTTACAACCTGTGGACTTCAACTCCCAGAATTCCTGAGACAGGCCAAGCTGTCTAGGGTCTAGGGGAAGTGAATTCCAGAGCGGGGGAGGGGGGGCTGGGAATGATAGAAAAGACTGACCATTTATTATTATTATTATTATTATTATTATTATTATTATTATTATTATTATTATTATTATTAATATTTCTATACCGCCTTTCTCCCGTAGGACTCAAGGTGGTGTACAGTCAAGAAAAATATAGATACACAAACATCATAAAATTGCTAATTAAAATTATTACTTAGGGTTAGGGTTAGGGTTTAGTCCATAGGATCAGCACCTGGCACATAAGACTCTGAGAAAACCCCTATGAAATGTTTATAGGTGACAGGCAGGTTCAATCCCAGCAAGGCAGGGTCTGATTCATTTTAATACAATAGTCACCTTCAAATAGAACACATTCCTGTAATCCAGTGTTAAACCTGTTAGACATAGGAATGAAATTCCACCTTGGCCTGATCTGATGTTTGTGTTAAGATGGTTTTCTCCCAGTTGTGACTTAAATAAACATGGGCAACCTTCCTTTGGGACAATTCTTTCCCAAATTCTGTTTTGTGGAAACAGAACAACCCCCCCCCACAATATGCTAGTTTCCCATTCTCATTCTTACTATAAATTTGTGGCTAGTGCTCAAGAGGAAGGGGGAAAAAATCCCTATGAAAACAATAAGCTGATAGGTAACTCACCTGCCACCCTTGACTATTTTTGTTTGAGAACTGCAGAATCGACTTCACAGATCCTTTGAAGTTATAACACAATCCATTCATGTAATAGAAGGCTGGTCTTGAATCTTCCTTCCTTATGTTCAACTATCTCCCTTGTGCCTTCTCCTAGTAATGAAGAGCATGTACTAAGCCAGACTTTTCAAGTAACTAGCTTACACTGGCTTGGGTCACAATTGACATATGGTCATAAGGTGGTTGCTTTGATTTGTTTCATCTTGTGATGAATATGTCCATGTTAATTATAGACGGTGCTTAGTGTAGTTCTCCTTCAAAAGACACTGCCAAGTTGTAACTTCTTCTAGGGACTGCATCCTCCCCATGGATTGGAGAAACTGCTAGGCTGTAATAAAAGTTTGAAGGGAAAGAATAGCTGAGATAAGAGGCTAGATGAGGCAAGAAGCAATGAGTAGGGTACAATTAAAAAGAGACAGTGAAGGAAATGAAATAAATAAATATGAAATTAAGCAGAGAAGTTGGGTCTGGTGCTCAAATAGAACCTGGATTCTGAGCATACTTTCAAGCCACTTTCTAAACCACTTTTTTTTAAATTTGGTGAAAAATGTTCCTAAACAATAACAAATTAGGAATGATTTGTTTTCAGCTAGGTTGGATACCTGCATTCAGTTTTAGACTTCAGCTCTTCAATATGAAATACAGTCAGTTGTGTGCCAAATACAGTAGGTCAGGACACTCTCTTGTTCTATAGCTTTTAAGGCTATTTTAAGCTGTGACTTTAAATTGGAATGTAGTGTGTGATTATATCAAACTGTGATGGTATATGCTGTGATGGTAATTTTGGTCTCCAATTCTGTATTACAGGCAAATGAAAAACAAAAGTACTGCTTTTACTACTGTTACAACTACTACTGTCACTACTGCTCCTGCTGTTGCTACTAATACTAGGACTTTTGTGAGGCAAACTCTGCCAGCTGATTCCTACTTCAGGTAACTGGTATGAGTTGTCATGAAGAGGAGGAGGATATGAATGCAGACAGTAGGAAATGTGCTGATCTGAGAGAGGGATCCTAAGGATGTCAGCATCCTTAAGAGAAACACTGGAATGATCCTTCCTTAAAAGACTGTCCCTGGATCTGGCCATATTAATCAACTATTGCCCAGTCTCCAACTTCTACTTTGGGGTGAAGTTTATGGAGATCTTCAATCATCCAGGTCATGGTTGTCCCAAAGGTGCTGATGAGAAGTGAAACGTCGTAATCACAAGGATAGTGTTCTTTATATTGCTTTTATGCTGTTGACTGTTTTTCGCCTCTTGAAACCTGCTTAGGGTCAACCAATTTGAAACAACGTAAAAGTCCTGCTAAACGAGCTGTTAATAATTTTGCAATGAAAAACACTTTAAAAAGTGAATCTTTTGGTGTTAATTTCTTTTGAATTTTTTTTAAAGGACAATGATGTAGGATTGCCCTAGGATCCAGACACCTGGGTGCAGCTGAAATTTGATGCTTTTTCTTTTTTTAATTAAAGCCCATTTCTACCAGGATTTTTTTTTTAAAAGTGTACTTCAGTGCCATGCATTAGGAAGAAAAACATCACTAGCAAGTGAATGGGCCTTTCCTAGTGGTTCAAGGAGAAGAAAAGGGAGGAGGAAACTGGAGTCGGAATCAGTGGCAAGGCCTGAAAAAGTATAGGAAGGGCCGGTGTGAAGCCAGAAGAGACAGAAGCAGTGCTGGTGACAGCTGTCATCAAATGATAAGCAAATGAGGTCCAGGAATGTGTGTTTTCTGGAGAGGCGGCAGTTGCTGCAAAGTAGTAAATAAAATGTCTAGATGCAAGCAGGAAGTGTATAAGGAGGCAAAGAGAGAGAGAGAGAGAGAAGTGCTGGAGAAGGAGCTGGGGCAGGAGATGGATAAAGGAAGAGAGGCTCTTGTGGAGGCTGAGGAAGAGGTGAGAATGGGAAAAGCAGAAACAGGTAGGCAGGTGTAGGAGAAAAGCAGATGGCTTGTGGCCACATTTCCCTAAGAGTTATGCCAATATTATAATCACCAACACCCAGAAAGCATGCAAATAAGGAAGAATAGTACCCGTACTACTAGATTGAGAGGGCAGGAGGACAATAATGAACGAAAGAGAGGGATATGTCAAACCAGGGAGTCTCCTAGGAGAGAAGCTACCTAGAACTTAAGGAGAAATTTCCTGACAGAACAATTAATCAGCGGGAACGACTTGCCTCCAGAAATTGTGGGTGCTCCAACACTGGAAGTTTTAAAGAAAGAATTGAACAACCGTTTGTCTAGGGTTTCCTGCCAGAGCAGGGGGTTGGACTAAAAGACCTCCAAGTTCCCTTCCAACTCTGTTATTCCTAGACAGCACTGTCCTCAATAGTCAAAAAGTGTTACTCGCACAGAATGGATCTCAAATGGCTGTCTTCTCCATACTGGATGTTCACAAAGTGTATTCTCATTGCAGAAGAGGATTCTCATCCTATTTGAGAAATTGCAAGGTCACACACTCATGCTTAAATGAGAAGCACAGAGAGAGCATTCACTAATGACATCTGCTTTCCCTTCACTCTGCTGGGAGAGAGGCGATACCTTGCCTCAGAGACTGCTCAGCCACGCAGGGAAGCCCTTGGATGAATCCTAAGGTGCCGTACACATTTGAGTAGGATTTTACAGGGAGTTCATGCTAACTGTATGTAACCCCCCGCCATGCTTCTTGCTTGCAATCACTAACTTACAAGGCACATTCACGTGCACATTTTGTGATGGCCATTCATTTTTTATGCTGGAGATATTAATAATTTACTCCCAATTATCCCAGAATCAGAGTGATGGCATTTAAGTTAATCTCAAGGTGAATTTTTAAATTCTAAATGTCTCAACCAAGATCATTAGCTGATTTTCGTGTGACAGCATCTTCTGGGAAATTAATTAATTAATTAATTAATTAATTAATTTTTATATGCCACCCTTCTCCGGAGACTCAGGGCGGCTTACAATGCGTTAAGCAATAGCCTTCATACTTTTGTATATTTATACAAAGTCAGCTTATTGCCCCCACAAACCGCGTCCTCATTTTACCCACCTTAGAAAGGATGGAAGGCTGAGTTGACCTTGAGCCTGGTGAGAATTGAACTCGCAGTAATTGCAGGCAGCTGGATGTTATATGCTGCCTTAGTAGGAGGCATTAGCCTCGTACGCCACTCAGGCTCCCTTACACTATAGGGGAAAAGCAGCTTCTCCTTCTCCTCTCCTCTCAGTACTCTGTTATGCAAAAATATGTTCCATCTCAAAACTTGACCACTATTCCATTTTACAAAACAAAACTGTACTTTTGTTTATGAGAGATTGTAATTATCTCAGGCATTAACTTATGTTTTTGTTGTGATTATATTATTGCCCTGAGTTTTTTAAAAAAGATTTAAAAGATGCAAATAGGTTTAATTTGTGTAAAGCCAAATTAGGCTGCCTAGATTTAAGTTCTGGAATACTACGTGAATACAATTCGGCTTCTTTGTATGAACACACTTTCTCGCTTCGATAGATATAGATATTGGGATTCAATGCAAGACATTTGTTACAGTTTCTATTTATATAAAAATTTTAAAAGTTCTCAAAACTTTTTTCATTCTTTTCTGGACTGCGGGTGAAATGGTTCTGCCTCTGTTTTCTTCTGCCAGCCTTAAAATTTGTTTTGTATGGTGTCCAGCATCTCTCGCTGGTTGCCGTACAAAGGAAGATATCGGATTAGATCAGAACGTTTCTTCAGCTTTCAAAATTTGTTAGCTTAAAAAAAAAATCTTAGAACCTCTGATTAAGTGGCAAAGCTCCAATGATAAAAAAAAATTGGCCGCATTAACGAACTACAGAGCTTGTTTCACATGACATACTAAATCCTAAAGAAGGTTAACAAAACAACCGTATGTACATATAACATGTTTAGCTCAAATAAATCATAGCTTCATAGTATATAACTGATGTGATTTATATGACATGTGTGAAGGCAAATCTTGATTCTCAGGTTTTGAACCAACGTATTAATTCAGTGTGAAAGAAGGGAGGCTGCTATTGCATGCAAAGCTTCCTGGCCATTAAAAAGTACAGATAAAAGCCAATAAAAAGTTAAGACAATTGAATTACTCCCTTATCTGCAGCAAGAACCTATAAACTTTTGCACCTTGAATACTGCTGACTTCAGGAACTTCCAGTTTGGCTCCTGAAATATCCTGAAAGAACTGTTTCCTGATGCTATATATAAGTGATTCATGAAAGGAGCTTAAAAAACAACAGTGGCTCTCATACAGTTTATCTTATTTTTCTGTTCCCTTGAGAACTGCCTATTTACGGTTTCTGATATATTGATTTACGGTGGGGAAATACGCTGTTAATCTGCAAGAAGGCACAAAGGTCTATAGAAATTTTTCCATAGGGATTAAGGGAAGCTTGTGGTATTATTGGTTGACAAATAGAGCCTTCCCAAGGCCCTGACAATTGCTTTGCTTTTGTAAAGTCTTGAGCTTCTTCTAGTGGAAGAGTGAGCAGCATGTGGCCAACAAGGCAATGGACACTGTGCCACTGGGCAGGTGGGAAAAGGTTTTCTGTGCTCTGTGCTTTTAAGCAATGCTACGGATTCTGGATCTGCAGAAATTGGATGACCATTAAATCACAAGAGAGTGGCGCCATGGTGCTGCAGTGGTTAGAATGCAATATTGCAGGCTAACTCTGCCCACAGCTAGGAGTTTGATCCTGACCAGCTCAAAGTTGACTCAGCCTTCCATCCTTCCGAGGTCAGTAAAATGAGGACCCAGATTGTTGGGGGCAATAGGCTGGCTCTGCAAACTGCTTAGATAGGACTGTAAAGCACTATGGAGTGACATATAAGTCTAAGTGCTATTTCTAAGACAGAAACCTTTATTGTCTAATGAAGATTTTGAGGTTTTGTGCAGTTGTTTATGGATGTCACATTTAGCTTCAAATGACAATTGAAAGAACATTATTCTTTTCAACACTATTTTAGAAATCATAGTTAATATTGATATAAATGTCTTCCTTTTCTTTAAAGGTTTAATTAAACTTTAGCAATAGCAATTAGACTTATATACCGCTTTACAGTGCTTTACAGCCCTCTCTAAGCGGTTTAGAGAGTTAGCATATTACCCCCAACAATTTGAGACCTTATTTTACCCACCTCGGAAGGATGGAAGGCTGAGTCAACTTTAAGCCTGATGAGATTCGAACTGCCAAATTTCAGGCAGCCGGCAATCATCAGAATTAGCCTGCAGTACTACACTCTAACCACTGCGCCACCGTGGCTCAATAGAGTGTTAATACTGTCTAGTTAATACTGTATAGATTCCACTGAGCCCAAATATATAATGTACTACTTGTGTTTTACAATAATACAATAAAACAACAATCATAATTTCCTTTTGCCTGTAATCTTCTGGATTTTTGCAGCCCAGAGTTGGTATTCCTATACATTACACTACGACTTCATGTGATTGAACTGTTTTTGACAACAGTGCATGGACTCGGCCACTGGGATCTTCATAGCGTGGTTTGTAGTTTAATTTGTTGTCTGGAGTCATCAAACTGTAGTTTATATAACCATACTGAACCAATTTATGATTTAGCATAGACCTTCCTTCCTTCCTTCCTTCCTTCCTTCCTTCCTTCCTTCCTTCCTCCTTTCCTTCCTTCCTTCCTTCCTTCCTTCCTTCCTTCCTTCCTTCCTTCCCCTTGCCATGTCTCTTTTCTACTCATCATTTGGTCTTTCTTGTAGGGCAGTTTGGTCTCTTTGGTATCCAGCTTCAGTACATTTTCATCACCAGCCTTCAGATATTCTTCTAATGCCTTTTTTAAACTGTCAGGTGTACTTGCAATATTCCACACCCACTTATTTTCCTTGGTAGGCAGAGACTGTCATTGTTGCTGCGAGAATAAAGGGCATGATTCATTGTCATTATTTTGCTGCTCTTCTTATCCTGGGCTTTTAGTTCTGCTTGAATCAGATCCACTATTCCAGCTGTGTAATCTAATGACTGGAATTGCCCAGGTGGTTATTGCATTGATGGTATTTCCTCCACTGAGTTTCAATTTGAATATCGCCTACAATCATATGATGTATTGACATCTAACTTTCTTCTTTATGTGCATGATGTTATCAGCTTGAAGGGTGCCCAGGTATTTGCAGTGATCATCTTCATCCAGACTCTTAATCTTATTTCTGCAGGGAATCTGGATTCCTTCAGTTTTCACTATTTTTCTCCTATTGATAGTGAAGATGGCATATTTTTCCAGCCCGAACTCCATTGCAATAACTTGGCTGTATATATGGGCAGCATCGAGCAGTTCAGTTCAGTTAGAGGGCTTTATTCTTTCTGAGTACTGTAGTAGGCAGAGAAGAGG